TGGTAGCTGATGAAGTGTCACAAGTATTGTTCAATGGCTTTATTGGTGATCTTGGATTGTCCATCAGTCTGAGTGTGGAAGGAAGTTGACGGGTGTAACCTGATTCCCACTTGATGGTCTAGTTCTCAAGTAATCTGGGATATGAATATTGAACCAAAAGCAGCAGCGGCAAACCTAACCACCTGAAGATGAGCGGCAAATGATGACTTGAGTTTGAATGGCATTCACATGTGCAAACCCTAACCTAGATGATGGTCATAAATACACTTCCGTTCTCCCCAGTCGTATTTCTCTTCCTCATCTCATCTTTTGTTTTCACTTGTGCTCAATCCAATCTCAATCAATCAACCCTTCACCTTCACCTCCAGGTATGCCGGCTTGGTTCATCATTCTCACTTTCATTTCATCCCTCATATTCTTGTCTCATCTTTCCATCATCGTCATTCCAGGTGTGCCTCCTCTGAAGTCCGCAGACTTAGCTGTGTTGTCTAACAACAACTTGTTGTTCTCTAAGCATCACGGCCAGCTCAGCCAATAATGAAGACTGAGCCATGGTCCAAGACAATAGTTTTTGTTTGTGCAATTTCCAGAAAATTTCAAGCATCAAACAGGCAAGTCCCTTGGCATTGTTATGATCTGATGTGGTGTGGTTTGGTGGGGTGTGATGTGTGTTGTGTTGTGTTGTGTGGTGTTGTTGTACTTAGAGATGATTTGCCTGAGTTCAGATTTGTGACATTCCACATGTCACGGACTAAAACTCAGGAGGTTCCCCATCCTCAGTCAACTTTGTAGATCCTCTTGCAATCTATCAAGACTCAGAACCCAGAAGACCCATTCCACTCCCCCAGGACAGTCATAAAATATTGCAAGATCTAAAAACACTGGAGACTGGACTAGAGCATCAAACAACAGATTCTCAAACCTTGAAAATCCATCTCATTACCTTGAAAATCCACCCATCAAAACTTAAATCTCACCCCCACGCACCTCTCTCACCCTTTTACAACCCCCACGGGAATTCTAGAACCCCCTTGGA